AAAAAATGAAATTTGATATATAAATAAGACGTAACATAATATATATTGCATTTTCACTTATTCTAAAATAACATTATTCATAGTACAATTAACACGTAAAAGTTGTTGTTACTTATTTATTCGATCTAAATATAGGGTAGCCCATATTGCACATTCCTTGGCCTTGATCACCAAGGAATTTCAAAGAAAATTTGGGAAGAAGGTCTTCGACAAACGAGGAAGGCAGGGTGATCGTAGCCGAGGCAGAACTTTTTAAGGAAGGAACCCTCCCTCTGTATCAAACAAGAAGGAGGAAGAGCCATCAGAATAAAAGAAGCAAGGTGTTAGATGCTTCAGATGCGGGAAAATGGGGCACTACTCCGAAGAGTGCAGAGGCCCTTTAGTGAAAGATGAACTGTACTACAAAAACAAGTACAAGTATAGTCGATCCCAAAGGAGGCTCATGGTTGAACAGGAGAACTGGATCTCTGACTTCTCATCCGAAGAAGAAGACCAAGCCCATTTATGTGGGATGGCTGTTAAGAACGACAGATAAGTGTCTGGATCTGACTCCGACTCCCTGGTATGTTCCATCTCTGGCTGTTCTCATTCTGACCTGGAAGAAAGCATCTCTGCTTTGACAAATGATTTCGTTAACCTACAGCAAAAGCTCTCTATCGAAAAATCCAAAAAGAAATATTTGGAAAAAGAAAAATGATTATTTGAACGTGAGACAGAGCTGCTAACTGTAGAGAAACAAGAATTGTCAGTGGAAAATGAAAAACTTTTGCAAACAAAACGATCCACTGAAACAGGTCTTAAATCAGAGTGCTTAGAACTAAAAGCGGCTATATAGAAGAAAGAAAAAGAGCTTTTAGAAAAGGAACTTGACCCAATATTCTTTTATTTCTTGGATTTAATATGATCGTTAAGTCTCTATTTATATGTACATTAGACAATTACACCATCACGTACCTTTTTCATATACATATATTTGCAATTTATTACCCATCTCTATATAACTTCTTTGTATATATGTTCAGTAACTACAAACATATATATATATACACTATATTATAAAACATTTGACAAAAACTCTTAAAAATTATTTTTTATGCATGAAGTATTATACATTGATGCATATTACTTAAAATTTCAGATTGCAAGTAACCTATGCACAAGTACTATTTATTAAAGCTCCATGTTTGAATATTTCGATTTCTTTTAATATATAATTTTTGGGCTATTTTTAGAATAAATAATAAAATATCAACTTAAATTTATGAAAACTCGATGGCATTGCATGGGGTGCAACTTAACTTTATCCTTGTCAAGAACCCATAAGTGATCATAGTTCTGGTTGTTGGCCTGTTTAGGAAGTTAGGGCGGGCATTGAAAGCTTCAGACGTCATTCTCTTGGATATTCACCTATAAACCTGTGAGTTCTCACGGCCCCACTTTTAATGCTTTATCTATTTTATTAGGGGAAAAGCATGTGAGCAAGAAACTATGCATGTTTATTTATTGAAACCATTGGACTAAAGAATTGTTTAGTCAAGCTTTGTTTGAAACCATCAAACTAAAGAACTGTTTAGTCAAGTTTATTACGTCATGAAATACTGACTGATATTACACTATAAAATAAATGCTAAATTGATGTGCTTGAGAGTATATTTTCCAAATAAAGT